AAGTTACGGTCGATTTCAATTTCTTTTGACTGTACAGATTTAGTGTGACTGTAATTTACATATTTTTAATTATTTTTTGGGATAAAAATTACCTATATTAAAAATGATATGAATCGATTCAGTAAACGATTCTGAACGAACTACTTTCTCAAAGTGCGTTAATTACGTTACATATTGTATATATGTGTATATATATTAGTGTTTATTATAGCGTTTTAGTATAGTGTTTTATTATAAAATTGTAATGAAAGTTTTTGTGTGAATATAATTTATCTTTTTACGTAAATAGTTTCGAGTAATATATATTGAAATAGTTGTGATTTTTACGCTGCCGACATTCGCTAGGTATGTTTTTTTTTTGTTATCAAAATACAATAAAATATGTTTGTAATGAAGTGAAACCTAGAGCACCAAGATAGACCACAGGATAGAGAATTTTGTATAGATTTTATAATGCTAAACTTCTTCGAAGAAAAGTAGTCTCTAAATGTAAGTTATAATGGTTTTAAGTGCTGTGGGTGGGTGCGGTCGCATGCGAACGCTCGAGATTTGCCGGGGATTTTTTGGGGAGGGTTCTTATTAATAAATGAAGAAAATACAGAGCATGTTATCACTAGGCTGGTACCATTTGTTAATGGCAATTTTAAAAATCACTTATTTTTAACACTTGCACGACGTAATTTTCTACCTACGTCATATCGCACGCAAAAAAAGTAAAATAGCAATTTAGCGTATTACGTCTAACGTTATTTAAAATAACTGTTAACTATACATTTGACTTACTGTTAAATCATATAACGTTACATGTTGGTTATACCCATTCGCTACCTTTATTTTGAATTCGTAATGCGAACATCTAAGGCGGGGAGTGATCTACCGGCGCCTGTGTTTCCATCCATCCACCCAATACTTGGCGGACGAATTGGCAACTGGTTTTTATTATTTTAACTCGTTATCAGGAAGATGCTGCTGCCCATCTCCTGTTTCGATGTTCCTCTGTCGCCACTTGCAACACCCTCGGCACAATATGCTGTAATGGATATTTACACCGCTATTTCACTATGCGGTACAGTCTTTCAGTCTGATTACAATTACAGTCTTACTACGGAATTCTACCGAATAATACAAATTGGGTGTTTTTAAGTGAGAGTGAATAGGCTTCAGTGACTTTAAGACAGTGCGATTAACCATCTAGAGATTCATCAACACTTACCATCAGGTAAGATTGTAGTCAAGCAATAACTGATAAGTTAAAAAAATTATAACTTTGACACCATTTTTTTTCATTGGACTCTGTTCCTCTTAATTTTTTGACGATCCTCTACCACACGTTTCAAAAACGTTATGTATTGAAAAAAAGAATGCAGTTTAATACAATTTATTTAAGCGAAATCTATACACATACCGATTTAGTTTAAACGTACAGTTGTGACCGATATACAATATTATAATTAATTACACGTGTTATATTAATACTACAGAACGTTAAAACAGGAATGTACATTGCGACCAACAATATAGCACAGCATGTGCAACTAACAGCTTCACTCCGAACGAATCGATTCAAACAGCATCTTTCAATATTAAATTAACAGCTATATTTAAAGTTATAACATCCGATTATCGTGAGTTACTCTGTGTTAACATCAAAGTGATTAGTCTGTAGAAACTTACACTATGACTTAAAAACCATATATTACAAATACATTGACACAAGTTTCCACTTATACTATTGCTCTGCGGTCACACAAACTTTGAAAGGCGAATATGTCTTACATTTATAAATTATGGCATTACATAGTTTCAATTTTAGAAATTTTGTCGCGTTTAGTTTTAACATAATTTTAATTTCCGACTTTTCGACTGCATTACTGCACATAGTGGGAACTTTCCCGCCACTAATATCGCATGCACTAAAATCAAACGCGATAAACTCCGTAAAATTGCTTTTATTCATCATTAAAACGTTTATTTTATATGAAATTTATTATTTTGGAACTAACTAATGATACAATTTTGAATAATGCACGAAAACACCAACTCATTTTATTTAAAGCTGTCTTTTATTTTTCTAATTAAAAATGCTAATGCATTTTTATCTGCTAATGTTACATACAAACATAGATTAATAAATCGTTTCAAAATTTTACAGAACAAAAACATGTCACAAAAAACAATAATATATGATATACGCACCAAAAAAAACTATAAAAGAATAAGCAACCTTAGCAACAAACATAAGCTTATCTGTACAAAGTTTTTAATAACTAATTGTCATTATTTAGAATTATTTTATTGCACTCGTTTATTCATATTTTCGACAAGTGATATAAGGCAACCAATATTTTTGAATATACAGCGCGAAAGACTTGAACGGTCTTATAACAAAAAGAAGTTTTTTGATAGTCTAAACTTTAAACAAGTTTTTTTAAATGTTTTTCAAATGTATGTTTAATTCTTAAGCACGCTGCATATCCTAAGCGGCATAATGGATTTTAACATATGAGATACGTCTTAAGACCGATTTACACTTCAACAAGTACAGTAGCGAGTTTAGTTACAGGACAGTTGACAGTAAACGGTTAAGTGGGCAGTAGCGTTCAAACAATGTCTTCGTGGCGAATTTAGTTTAGAACATTAGTTCATAGAGTTCGTTGGAGTATGACGTTCCAAGACTAAAGAATTTTTTCTTATTTTCGTTTAAGATGGTTCTAGAATTACGTCTAGAATTAAATTATCCAGTCAGAAAAGTATTAATGGTTGTTGTTAAAGAAGTTTTTAAGAATTTTCATGAGTGCAGCATCTCGAGCAGGTTTAATTTTACAATTTGAACTTCTACTATTATATAAACATTCGTGTTCTAAATACTCCTGTATGAATTTATACGTGTTATCTTCGTCCATTTTATTATTAAAACACAATATAAAACGTATAAATATTCAATAAACACTATCGTACAAACTTTGTGGCGAGTTTCATTATAAAAGTACAATTGTACGTTTTGGCGCGCAAACGTTGCGTCTTGTCAACTTATGCACTGAACTAAACTCGCTCGTTTACACTAACGGCGAGTTTAGTTGCGGGTGGCAGGAGACGCGCGGGAGGGCAGCACTTCGCACTTAACTCGCCGAAAAATAGCTCGGACGGCTATCCCGTTCAACTTAATCGTTAACTTGCTACTTAACTCGCTTATTGCCGTTCAAACGAGGTTCAAACTTAACTCGCCAGGTTCGCAAGTTAACTCGCTACTGTACTTGTCGAAGTGTTAATCGGTCTTTAAGACGGATTCGACAAGTACAGTAGCGAGTTAACTTGGGAACCTGGAGAGTTAAGTAGAAAATCTCGTTGGTACGGCAATTAGCGAGTTAAGAAGCAAGTTGACAATTAAGTTGAACGGGACGTTTTCAGCGAGTTAAGTGCGAAGTGTCCCGGCGTCTCCCGCCACGCGCAACTAAACTCACTGCTCGCGTGATCGAGCGAGTTGAGTTCAGTGGATAAGTAGACAGGACGCAACGTGTTCGCGTGCGGCCATCAAAATATAAAATTGTACTTTTTTTAACTAAACTCGCCACGAAGACATTAGAACGCTACTGTCCACTTAACCGTTTACTGTCAACTGCCCTGTAACTAAACTCGCTACTGTACTTGCAGTTTAAATCGGCTACTTCTTGAGTGGCGTAAGGTATTTGAATTTTTCTCTTTTTCAGCAAGCTCTTTTAACGCCGACTGCGTATAAAAATAGGTATCTTTAATCTCGCGAAATTTGATATTTTGCTCAAATTCTTCTCCAATTCCATATCTATACATATAATTGAAGTCTCAAGTTTAGAAATGAGACTATTATAAACAACTTTTTGTAATAAGATGAACATAGTTTAAACTTTTCATTTGCTATAGATTATAAGTCAGAACCCCTACATTTATACAGTTTTCTTATCGCAATTCCGTCGATATCTAAATCCAATGTACGCATTTTTAAAAAAAAGGGACAGTGGTTAAATTAGAAAACGACTAGAAAAGTTTTGAATAAATCACTGGAGTCATACAAATGATTGGCAGTTTTTTTATAGTACAGCACTTACAGATGCGGAAGGGGTTTGTATTTATGGGATTTCAGAAACCTGGCGCTACTAAAAGTGCATAAGCAAAATTAGCCGAAAAAGCGACGTTTGTCTACGCTTATCTAAGATATAAACGCATTTAATATAATATGCAAAAAAAACACTGTACGATCCGTAAGGGGAAGATAGGTACCGTACTGACCATTACAACACATAATTAACATATACATTATACGTTAATTATGTGCCTCCAGACCGAATTTCGGCCGCGGCAGCCTGCCTCAACGGAGGCTAGCCATCGGCGCAGGACGGGATTATAGTGCCCAAGTGTATGCGCAAGCACCGTTGTATTCTCTATTCCCTCACTCTCATAATCCGATGGGACGGTAAACCGACACGACCGGAGAGAGATCAGGCGCAGGACCAACAGCTTTACGTGCTTTTTACTTTTTGGACCTAACAAATAAAGAAAAAGTAAACGCGATTGAGAAGGAAAAACCATGCCATACACGATTCATGCGGATGACCATGAGCTCGTCCTCACGACTCGAGTTGTCTACCAGTATGTGAAGAATTGGCGTGCCTGCCACAAAGCGGGAGGAGATTGTTGGTGAAGAGCGATAACACATCTATAGCGACGATATGGTTCTTTCGGCGGTCTTGGCATTCTGAGCCCCATTCACTACCTCCTGCATGAGTGGGGCAAGAATAGGGACACCCGGAGCAAGAAACACTTAAGACAGAGGCAGAGGTAGACATGGGGATACTAGCTATGACATTGTCATCCTTGATGACGTTGGCCAAGCCAGTATCCACCCAAAACGGACCGGCGTTCACAAAGCGCTGGAAGGCTGCCCTGGCATCAGTCCAGGCAACCGACCTCGTTACCCCTGAGACCTGGCCACGCACTTCCAAAACATAATAGCAGTCAGAGATGACTTGAGGGCGGAAATTGTCGACAAGGTTATCTCGTTAGAGCTGACCGGTATTCGGGGTGCCATATTATCCCAGATCAAATTTGTCTGGGGTTACTCCTCCCTCAAAGCTGTACAATATATGGATGCGTTTACTAAGTCTCACTGTAGGGCATTAGAAATACCAGTTGTGCTGGACCAAGCCCTCCAACTTCAAGCCCGTTGGACGAAGGCGCACGAAGACGACCCTAATATAGCATATAGCAGAGTTCGTAACCCATCCAGCCATAGTGAGCTGAATCACTCCCACTTTTCCGACTTTTATTATGCATTAATTGCTTACGCGAAAATAAACAAACTGGTAGGAGATAACTTCGAGTTATCACAAGCGCATACCTCAAGACACGCATATCTTATAGACAAGTACATTAGAAAGACTACAGCCGCAGAGTTGGGCGAGATGTCGGAGGAGACCAAAAACAAGTTATCTCGCCTTGGATATCCTGTGGCACAAAGAAGACGGCGCCACTCTGAGAGTGACGAGGAGGAGAGCGAGCCTGTGAGAAGGAGATCTCGCAGATAAAACACTCTACATTATTTTTAGATAATTAAGTTTAACGCCTAGATTAAGATGTAATGTTCTTTCCGAGGCACGGGGGTGAGACACCGTCAACTTCCTGACTCCGGGCAGCTACTGAGAATTTCTTGACAGAAAAACTAAATAATTGATTTTTGGCCCAACCCGGGATTCGAACCCAGGACCTCATGATCAGCAGTCGCACTACTACAACCGCTAAACCAACGAGGCAGTCGTTTTTTTTTTAAATATAATAATAATAAAATTAACTCATATTAATAAAGAATATAAAAATGTTATTGTTACTCAAAATACATGTTTGTCACTGTAACTTATGAAAATTTTAGCAATTTTTGTAAATTCTGACAAGACCGTCGTCGGTAACGGTACATTTAAATATGGCGGTATTTTTTATCCGACGGCCGCCAGCGCAGCAAGTTTCCCCATTTAATCAGATTTTTTTTGGTTTTTTGAAAAACAAATAAAATTTCAAAAACTTTTTAGTCGGGTATTTTTTTAATTTCTTATCTGAAAAATATTACATATCTAAAATCACCCACACCTTACGGATCGGACTGTTTTTCAACCGACTTCAAAAACAGGTGGAGGTGCTAAATTCGACTGCATTTTTATGTGAAATTTATTCTAGGTGGATCGATTTCTGTCCTTTTTTTATATGAAAGCTGGTGCTTCTCATGTGGTCCCACATAAATTTAATCAAGATCTGACCAGTAGTTTTTGAGTTATCCTTAACAATGCGTATTTAATTGACTTTGACTACATTGATGATGTTCGAATTTAATTTATATTGAAGTCGGTTGTACAAAATTAATTATAGATAACGTGAAAGAAAAGAGCGCGAACATTAGCTTTATATCATCTTATATGATTTGTATAATTCAAAAATACACTTATTGAAAGTTATCTGCGGCAAATAAGTTTTAAATATTACACAATAAAAACGTTTAGCTTATCTTTAACAAATAAATGTATATTTGCGTTGTGATTGTGAAGTCACTAAGTACAATGTCATTAGATGTCATGAAAACATTTAAAACATCTGGATATTAATAACGAGTCGATGAAGCATAGTCAGGAGACTTACCACTGAAATGAGGCTTTACTGCAATCTTTTTCGAAAACCAGCACATGAAATCCTAGATTATAAGGGAAATTATAAGGCAAATTAGATATTTTATTTTTGACCCTGTATCAAAAATAAAATATCCGATTTCTGTTTAGATATTTTTACTATCTCCCAAAGAGTATTGAAATACATTTGAATTTCTTCAAAAATACAGTTCCATATTAAAACCTCCATTACTCATTATCAATTCACAGACAGTTTCAAAGCATTTAGAATAAATTAAAAGTTTATTTTAAGATTACATTCGATAATATAGTGCACACGCTATTAATATCATATTTCATTTATATACAATAAAACAAACACACAATCACATTTGTAAACCGTTCATAAACAAATACCACTCCAAATAATTAATTTTAAACATGTAAAAAAAGCGAAATTTTGATTTCATAACAATTTTTATGCCAACGTTTATTAAAACGATGCAATATGGCACCAATACATTATAAATGATATACTTTCATAATACTGTCACAAAATTAATATATACATGTTACGACTAAAAGCAGAAATATGGTTACAAGTGTTGACTTTTTTTGCCTTTTTTTAAAATAAGGCGAAATATTTGACAGGTTTCATAGCGATGAAGTTAATGTGCTACTGTAAAGGTTAATGCGCTGTAATCTTATTTGTATTTTATATTAATTGTTTTAAAAATGAATAAAACAAACTACGGATACTCCTAAAAGTAGAAGAATTAAAAATAAAGGTTAAAAAATGCAAAAATATATGAACAAAGCACTAAGGCATTGTTTTCTGTATTAATATAATACTATAGAAACTGATAAACTTTTATTTAAACCTAATTTTTCAATTAAATGCTCTTGCGTCTTCGATCAATAATAGTACCAGCCCGGCCCGAAAAATAAGAACACAAATACTTTTGTGGTCTTATTTCAAATTAGTAGGGTCCAATCATAGCCAATGTTAAGACGTCAAAATGCCGCAGTGCACTTTCAAAAACTATGTAAATAACCACCGCAACACCAAGATTTTGGAAAGAAATAATTTTTTTACGGTAATTTTATATCATCCGGCGGCACGGCAGCGCCCGCCAAGTCGAGCAAAAAGCGGCACGGCCGTACCATACTTTTCTCGAAGCAGTTCAGGCCATTTTCCACCCCCTACAACTTCGTTGTGGATAAAACTACGAGCAGCCTGGATTTTCTGTAACCAAGCAGGCATTCTATGAACATGGGATATTTAAAATTTCATTCAATTTGAACCAGTAGTTTAAGAATTATAACCAAAGTTTCTTAATTTTGTCACTCACTGACTGACCGATCATGAAAACTCTAAGGCACTTCTAGCAGACATAGAAGCTTCAAATTTAGAATACAATTAGTTTAGTGTAGTGTCGATTTCGTTCCAGTTCTCTAGATAAACCAACTGCATAAATAACTTTGTAATCCTACATAACATACATAACATGAAAACACAATCTATCTCACAAGTAATTAGATTGCTTAGTGCTTTTGCCAAGTCAATCTATTTATTTAAAACATAAAAGATTTTTAACATTGATATGATCACTATAAAACGTTTTTAGGTTAGCTAATTACGTAATAACATAAAACAGAAGGACCCTTAAGTAGGGACTGAATAAATTAACCGACTTGGTATTACATGGATCTCACAACTTTTTACGGTAGAAGAACTGAGCTGCGAGACTTAGTTTTTTTTACAAGTTATATTTTTGATGGCATTAAGTGCTTTTCATGAAATAAAACAGAAATAAATAGTAAATATAACTCAATTAGCTAATATTATAATTGTTTGACCGATGTTTGCTATGACGTGACGCACCAACTATTGTAACAAACATTGAAATACATACCAAGAATAAAATAGAATAAGCACGAAATTGTTAACATAATATTTTCAATCTTATGAATAAGATTTTCAAGTTTCATTTTAGAATAAATATATGTGTACTTATGACTTTTTATTTTCAAGCAGCATCTTTCTCTGATGACAGAACTTAAATAAACATATTTTGCAATGGTATTTACGCTTTATGCTTAAGCGATAAGGTTTATAATAAACTGAAGTTGTTAATATTATTAATCTTTTTTCTACATTTCATAGTAAGAAATGTAGATGTTTTACGTGTGTGCAAACGTGGCCACTTGAGCGGCATATTTTTGTTCCCGATCCTTAATCTACTATTATTGATCGAAGCATTGCGTAACTAAAAACTTCCCCTCAGTTCCAAGAAGCGACATCTGCCGAGCGGAATATGATTAGCCCTCATGCTTTCAATGATTTTGACGTATTTAACAGAAGTTATTAGTTATTGATCTACATACTGCCGCTTTAACATTATCTTGATTAAGTATTTAGTATTTAATATATATATATATATATATATATATATATACATATATTGTATTTTCTTAATTAGATATATACCTTTTTATTTATACTATGGTTTCAGTTTTTTAGTACTATTGGCATTTGAAATTTTAATTTTTTTATTTTATTTTGTATGCACCTATTTGTAGCTGGCCAAGCCTAGGTGTGGCCCCACTTCGCCGTTTGACTAAGACAAATACATATGCAAGAAAAATTAAGGAATTTACGATTCTATACTATTACATACAATGTCCTTGAAATGTTACGCAAATCGGTAGTTTTAAAAATAGAATTCTTGAAAAGTTACCAAATTGGTAGTTTTCAAAATATAATTTAACTCATTTTTAATTTCGATAACATGAATGTTTATCATAGGTTACTTATTGAAATAAACTCGATTCTTAAGAGTAGTAATTATTATAAAAAAATAGTATCTATTCACTTAGCCGTTGCTTGTTCAAGCATTTCATACCTTTAAATAATTTTCTAAATCCTATCACACAATTCCAACACCTAATAACTGCCTTCATTCGCTTACATGAGAATATAAATACATCGTGAAAGTCAAACGTATCGCATTACAATAAAGTTCAAAATGCATTAAATATCGCTATAGCAAATATTAACGAGATATGTTTATTATACAACTAACAATACATATAGCTAGCGCATACATAACGACATATAAACAATTTCATTGTTGCTACAATAGGCTGTGCAACCGTGTTGCCTGTAATCAAAAACTAGGAAAGATTTACGAATATTATTTTAAGTTTTTCATGGTAAACTTTTAAAAAAATTGACCCGAATGATTTGAATTCTACACACATTCAATTTTTTTGTTAATCTGTACAATAAAAAAGAGACAGCACATATTGTTTGCTTTATCGCACAATTGAATTTCAAAGGCGACTGTATGACAAGGTACACTATGAGGTGTTTCGCTAGTCGCTAATTTAAATCATTATACAATATGGCTGGCTGTTCAAACAAACGTTCTAGCGCAAAATACTACAACTAAACATAGAATTGAGGACATTATAGTTTACTGCAAACGATTCCATAGGCTATATTATATTATATAGAAATATTCTTACTTTTCTAGAAATATTTAGAATATTTTTGAGTGACAATTAAAATACGTTCATTTAAATATAATTGTATGTATATTTGTTAAATGAACAATGTCTTCTTCAAAGAACTTGCGGGTATATTACTTAATGAGAAAAAAATTCCATAGAAAATATTTTATCAGCATACGCGCTAATATAATAATAATAATAAAGGCGGTAAATTCAAATCTAAAGATATTTCACTTATTTCTAATTAAATCTAAATAATATTTTGTCGGTTTATACAATATTTTCCTATAAACAAAGACGCGTTTTCCAATATTTTGAAATGACAAAATGATTTATAATATAATAATTTTATATGGCATCGAATTCCTGAGCTAGCGTTATATGTGATTTGCGAATTCTAGTTTTATAAAAGTTAAAAATGATATTAACAAAGAGTTATAGCACACACACACACACATATATATGTTAGGGATGGGCCGAATATGGATTTCACCGAAGTATGCTTTCCGAATATTCGGCCGAACATTGAATTCGGCAGGATTACCGAGGTACCTAACCAATTTATGTCGAAACTTGTTACCGTAAAGCGCGCGAGATTACCGCCAGAGCCTTCCCCATGCTCCCCCCCACACCTGACATGTTATTTCATCATCTAGTACTGAGCAAATTGCCGGCACATGCTTATGTTTTGACTATTTTTGTGAGAAAAAAGTATTCTTAGTGAAAATTGACAAGTATGTGATGAAAATGAGTGGCAGGAGATCTACTATATGGACCAATTTTAGAGAAATTGACGACTGTAATGTAATGTTTCTTTGTTTGATTCCAAGCAAAATTTTATCAAGCTTTCTATTTGCTATAATTGGAAATAAATCTACAGTGCCTCAAAAACATATCGTTATACAAGTAGATTTCACCCATAAATAAACATACTTACAACAGTAAAATGATGAAAGACGTGGCATTGCTCAATTCGTAGATTTCCATACAGTGGATACTTTGAGAACCACTTTACCGAATATTCGGTGATTTGGCCGAATATTCGGCCGAATACGAATATTCGGTAAACCTGCCGAATATGCCGAATACCGAATATAAAATGAATATTCGTAGTAGTAGTAAGTATTCTGCCGTGCTACATTGCGTGTTGGCGGATTTCACATGTTAGCACTTATCTCTGCTTTACAGTAATAATATTAATGTATAGAGTCCCAGTTCATTCATCACATCGGATAAACACATGCCACATTTGTAGACCCTTCAAAGCAATTCTTTTTAAATGTTATTTTTTGAATTATAAAAAGAAATTTCTATTTTTTTTTTATAATTATTTTCGTTACTAAATTACGCTTATAGAAGCGAAAGAAATTAAGAGAGTTTACTTTATATGACGACCTTCTGCCATTACGCGTCGCGATTATTTCAGTCCAGTCCCAGATAATTAACTACGCCGGCTTCGCAAGTCGATGTAGTACTTGACGAACCGTGTAGATGGCGCTGTTACAGAATTATTTCGTTAGTAATTTTTTTACAGTAGAATATCAAGTCTATATAATGGCAACATCTAAAAAAATTAAAAATGTGGGGCGTGCATGTTTTCGTTCAAATTTAAATTAAGATAACTGTTACTGTTGCTTTAATAAGTTTATTTGCAGAACTTTTTAAAGCGCCGTCTATCATCGATTTTCTCGAAAACTTTCGAGGAGATTCGCCATAAAATCGGAAGAAAATCTAGGGTAACACAGTAAAAAACAACATAGTCTTTTAAAATCAATAGATAAATACAAAATCAATAAGTGGATACTCCCATTTAAGAGGGTTTCAAATAACTTGACAACCTCAAGGTAAAAATCTGGTAAAACAAATGTCACAAATTAAATTTCTGTAACAGCGCCATCTATACGGTTTGTCAAGTACTACATCGATCTACAAAGCCGACTTAGTTCACCAAATGGTGCTGATATTAATTTACTAATGTCGCAAATATTCTATACAATAGTCGAAAGGGCCTGGTTTTGAGAAATAAAATATTTATTGACGATATAAATATTGACCTTGGCCTGACCACAGGTCTGACGGAGTTGGTTGGACTTATGTAACGTAACATGTAATGAAAGATTTTGCCGTGCACATTAGTGTAATGTATCATGTAATTTAATACACTGTAATAAACTTATATAGCGTGGACAGCTTGCGCACGCGAACGCATTCCATGCGCACGCCACGAGCATCACCAGCCGCGCGGAGCGATTTGTCATCTGTCGGTTTTTCGAACGCACAAGGCACACAAGGCGCGAAGGCAAGGAACAAATTCGAGCCCCGAGTTACTGCGGAGAGTGAAATCTCATGTCAGTCATTAATTCTGCACCAGTTCTCTGTCTGTACGACTCTGTACATACCAACTACTACGTACTGTGCCAATGTCGAGGTCTTTGGCGTTTTTTTAAGACTTAAGACCTCAGAGTCACCAACTGGTCGTCACACTCCATTCTCTTCGCGTGTTCTCAGCAGATTGATGCTAAGTTCGAGCGCATGCCGGGATCAAATGCGAGTAGGGACATGTTCCGTTCGTGCGCGCACTGCATCCACACTGATGAAATGCTCAATTCACGTTACATTGCATGTTATGTTATGTAAGTCTGAACGCAGCATAAAAGGTTAATATGTTATGTTTATCGCAAAAACAAGTTGTTTTCACACTTTCTTACTGACAAATTTCATCTGTCAACATTGACAGATGACATATAGCGCGAATGATATCTGTCAGTTTCGATGTTTGATTAAAAAGCACGTCTTTGAAACATCAAATATCGACGTAAGATTAAACTTTACTTAGTTACACATAGCGAACCGCTTATATCAATGAAAAAATCTATTTTAATTTTAACTGCTACATATCTTCAAGCTAAGTGCAGAAGAGTGGACGTAATGTAAAAGATATTTAAGTGTTGTATTGGCGTTCAATAGACATTTAACCGAAAGATAAATAACAGTTATCGTAAGTCCACTTCCCAATAAAGGAATCGCATCTACAGTAAAAAGTTACAAAGAGCACGATGGTGTTGAAACGTTCGAACATAAAGTAAATTTACGACCTATACCGCCACAGCTGAGCACAGACCTCCTCCAATTAAAAAAATGAATTTATTTAAATATACATATTTAATTCTTTGAAATTCAGAGATTCTTCATTAAATTCATAATAATAATGTCCTCCAGACCGCATTTCGGTCACGGCGGCCAGCTATAACAGAGACTAGCCATCTGCGCGGGACAGAATTATAGAGCACGTTGATATGCAAGCACAGATGCACTCTATTTTTTCACTCTCATTATCCTAAAGAAAGGTAATCTTAAGGAGAGAGATCAGGCGCCGGACCAACGGCTTTACGTGCTTTCCGAGACAGGGGTGAAACACCACCAACTTTCTGACTCCAGGCTGCTACTGAAAATTTCTTAATGGAAAAACTCACTATTTGATTATTTTAAACCAAACCCAGAATTAATTATGAACTCGGAGGACCACATGATCACAAGTCGCGTTACAAAACTTAAATATATATATATCCCCCTATGAGGAATCAATCTTAGTAAACCTTTGATATGCTCTAATGAAGGAATGAAGTTTTTTTCTTTTATTTTATGGCGTCCCCCCCCCCCCACACACTAAAATTTTCTTCTGAATCGTGGAGGCAGTTTACAAACATAAATTGCACAAGGACCAACATCCAGACCCGTAACAATTATTTGTAGGCCTTACAAAATACTTGTTACATGCGGAATTCAAACCCGCGGCCCCCAGAGCTGCAATTTAAATTTACTTTTTTCATTATTACAGTTTTATTTTGATATAATAATTTGAAAATCAACACCATCCTGCTCTGTGTTAAATATTTTATGTAATTATCATGTAATTTAAATCTTAAATAATTCGTAAGTACACATACAACGAAACCAAAACCAAGTATTGCTATCACAGAGTCGATCGTCGTGAGACGACTTCGCATTGAACATGGCATCCAAGCTTACACTTCATATTATACATTTGTAACTAAAATTTTGATAAATAATTACACTAAAATAAAATTATTCTACTATATCTCTATTTTATAGCATGATAAGAGTAACGAGAACTACGCGCCGCCATTTTGTTACTGGCCATTTGAAGTAGCGACTCAGGAAAGGGCGGCGCGTGTTCATGACGTAATACCATTGTGATTTCTTATTTCCTATTTGCTTCCGCTAGTCCAAAGTACAGTCTATTCGCCAGTGTCGATCCAGCTTGCTTCCTCTGCTATTCGATCCATGCAGTTGCAGAGGAATTGATACTGTAACATTAAAATTTTCATAACACAATAAGTAATTATAATATTAAGAAAAAACTAATAAGTTATATGATAAGTTAAAAGTGAAAATGGTTCGGCCCCATACTGCTAAAAGAACCGGCAATCAACGCGAAAGAAAAGTTCTCGAGTGGCAGACTTAATTGGAGTTTATTAGAGGCTCTTCGCTAGATGGAGTGACAACCTGATAAGATGCAGGAAGTGGATGAACGCAGATGGCTCAGAACCGTGCTTTGTGGAAATGCTTTGAGTGAGACTTGTTTTCAACAGTGGAATTGTGAAGGACTGATAAAAGTAAAATAGTAAAGTTACAGCCTATATACGTCCCGCCGCTGGGCACTGGCCTCCCCTCATTTCTGAGAGGGTTTTAGGGCAAGGAAGTGTTCGCCGCGCTGCCCCAATGCGTGTTGGCGAACTTCACATGTCCTTGAAATATTTTTTTCTTATTCCTCAGACATGCAGGTTTCCTTCACCGCCGAGTACGTGGTAAATCAGCACTTAAAATTGCAATTAACAATTTCATTGGTGCCGGGGGGGGTTCGAACCCGGGTTACTCGAGTTCTGTCATATTTACAGCGAACGTTAACCATCTGAGCTACCACGGCACGGTGAAGGACTGATAATGATATTATATCATACTAGCTAGCTCTGCACAAGTTTAAAAGTAACGTAAAGCCCCTATACCATATCATTCCGTGGGGTCATAAGAGGCGATAGAGGGAATTGAATCGGAATATAGGCAGCAGTATCTTTCTGATAACAACTTAAAATAATAAAACAAATGTGTTTGGCAACCCAGTCAGCAATTGAGAAAATTATGGCAAATATCACCGTCCTCCTCCGAGGCCTTTGACAAGAAATACAACTTTTGACGGGCTTAATGGTAATCGTAATTTTAAATAAGTGCAACTGGTTATAAGGGCAGCAGAAGTACTAAGAGTGAGAGATGGTGAGACTTACGTATGGCGTGTATTGTACGGGCGCAGCTGGTTTGTCCTAGCAATGTTACTAAAGTCCGGACGCGAAGAAGGAAGAATTTCGTACGTTGACCTGTTATTATCTGTCTCTATCACTCCCGCGTAAGTATAATGCGTCTCACTCGCACAGATGCAATGAGCGCCGTCCTCAGGGATTGTAAACCTTTTACCTCAGACTCTAAGGTTTGTTTGCACGTGGTATTTGGTTGGCCTTGAGACACGACCAAAAATCCTTGGTTTGCTTGACATAATTAATAATTTTTATGTAACGAACAAACGACATTCCATCTTGGGATGCGTTGGTGATGGCTCAGTTTTCAAACAAAGTTATCTCTGTTATCAATTCTAAGTTTGTTGTTGTTTGTAAATTTTAGTTATCTTGTTTTAATTATTAAGTGGTTTTGTTAAGTTTAATGTAGACAAAACTGTTGAGTCTTTTGTAATAAATGTGACAACAGAACTACATCGGAAAAATGTCATTCCGATACAGAGAAATCCGATTTAGATTTTTGAATTTTCTTTTAATAATTATTTTTTAATAATTCTGCCAAATTAGTAATTGTAATGGACGACACACACGGTCAGTTCAACTGATCATTCCAACTGATGAGCTTAAACTACGACTGTTGATATTTTTTAAGATATCGGATTTTCGATACATCTATAAATAAATTTATATATAAAACTCCGATATTGATATATTTATATTTAAAAAAATATCAACAGTCCTAGTTTGAACTGATCAGTCGGAACGATCAGTTGAATTGACAGTGCGTGGCGACCACAACTCGATTTTTATAACTGTTTTTATAATGATTTCTTATATTTACGCGAACACTACACATTGAATAAAATAAAGAAGGAGGCTGGGTACTACCACTGCTTGGGACTGGTAATTAATAACATTAAAACTAAACCCAAGCATACCGCTGCAAGACTTCAAGACACAGTAAGTTCATTCTGCGTAGATCGGACCATAAACAATAATTAAAAAGCTGAAGGTACTCCGGGTTAACATTGACATTGGGACATCAGTCACCTCAGTCCCCCGTGACCATGGGTGCTGGTAGGCACCCGAAACGTCGGAATTTAAAAATCACTTAAAGTTAAACGCGATAAAATCCGTAAAAGTGGTTTTAATCAATTGTTTTTATACTAAAATCAAAATAAATAATTTATGTAATACCCATAATTTATTTAATACGATAGTAAATTTAATTTTTTCTCATAATGATTTCTTATATTTACGCGAACATTGCACATGATTAAAACTACTTTTACGGATTTTATCGCGTTTATTTTTTTCTTACTTTTTATTTTATTTTTAATTCCCGACGTTTCGGGCGCTTTCCAGCACCCATGGTCACGGGGGACTGAGATGACTGACGTCCCGATGTCATTGTTAAACCCGGAGTACCTTCAGCTTTTTTAATTATTGTTTATGGTCCGATCTATGCAAAATGAACTGACTATGTCCTGAGGTCTTGCAGTGGTATGCTCTGGGTTTACACTGTTTTAATTTTATTGATTATAGGATCCCGAGCAGGTGGTCGTACCCAGCCTCCTTCTCTATTGAAATTAGGATGTTTTTTAATTTCAATAGCCTCACGTATCATCCTTGGTAGGAATCGGTGTTCTTTCGCGAGGATTTGTGGTCTATCAAATCTGATGTAGGTATCTAGGATATGATCACAAACTGCAGACTTCCCGGACAGGAAGTCTGCAGTTTGTGATCATATCCTAGACGGCCCCAACCATTACATCAGATTTACTAGCAGATTTACTAGCAGGGCACCAGAAATACCAAGAGGAAAAGACGTACACATGGAGTGTATTGCGAGCGCAACGTTGATCCGAGCAGTGTTACTAATAGGGCAGCAGAAGTGCCGGGAGGTACTCACGTATGGTGTGTATAGTACGAGCGCAGCGGGTATGTTCTAGTAGTCTTACTAGTGGGGCATTAGAAGCACTACTAGGAGGTATAGCGCGTCTATAATGCGAGCGCGGCGAGTCAGTCAAAGCAATGTTACTAGCAGGGCAGTAGAAGTACCAGGAGATGGAGACTTATGTATGGCGTGTATGGTACGAGTGCAGCTGGTCGGTTCCAGCAGTGTTACTGGTAATCAGGGCAGTAGAAATACGAGGTGGTATGGAAGGTAGAAAAGGACATTGTTCTGCGTCCATACAATGTTCGCCTAAGAACCAACTAAAAAAATAACTGACTTAAAAATACATTTTTAAGTCCGAAATTATACATAATTGTATGTAAAAACAATAACTCTTGACGGAAACTTCCGAAAACAGAGATATTAGCAGTTCTCGTAGAAATTTTAAGGTTATCTTTTATTTTTATGATATATTACTATGTTGTTGCTAATGTAAGCAGTTCAGTCTTAGCCTAGCACTTATACGGTAAATAAAACTCAGGTTGTGATTAGGTATTTGTTTTATTTATACCAATTAAATACAATTTGTACACTCATTTGGCAACCAAATTAATGATTGATAGTATCAACCATCATTACTTTTGAGCAAAATATTATTCAAGAATTGAGCAGGGGTTTGATATTTTCTTGGTATCGGGCCCAACTAAAATACCATATTATGGTCATGACATGGGCGCAGCAACCTATAGTTCTGGGCCCAACAACACAATTACAACGATATTTTTTATTGCCTCCCTCCCAATTTCTGACTCATCAACCAAAATGTATACAAAATAATTTTTACTACTAATAGTGCGGCTATGTATTCTCCCTCTCAAGAGCCATACATTTGTAGAATGTAGTAAATGTAATTCACTGATCAGTAATCAACTCCTGTTTGACCTCCATGCAAACTTCAACAACATAATTACCGATCGCACGTCTGACGCCTATCTATTTTATCGTCTTGTCATCTGTTAACATAACTTTTTTTTGCGTGGCACAATGTTGATTGGCCAATGAGAGTACAATAGTATTGTTATTTTTAATGAATACACATGAGTTTACTGTATTAAAGTTGTTTGTGGTATATACTAACCTTAGGTATATTTTAAATTATTAACGTTTTCATATTTGAGTTTATGACAACTTTTGAAATACCGTTAAATGTAAGAGGCATTGTGCGATTGACCAAATCACAGGAGTCCAGATGCAGCAGATTAATAAAAAATACGTACAAAGCTTAAAATCTAAAAAGTTCTTTTTATTTTGACTCCATAATTCAGAAGTGTCAGAAGCGTTACTATCTAATGCATAATTAAGGGGAAATATAATCTCAAATTGCTTAGCAAGATCCTTCGTTATGCCGAAAATATTGCAGCATTAATTTTGAAATAAATATATGGTAAAGTTGAGGATTAATGTTAAGGATTATGTTAGACGAAAACACGATTTCGTAAAATTTTCTCGATAGAAAAAAAATCCAAAGTTACCTCCAAAATAAACAATAAACCGCTGTTATTCATAAAATACTTTAAATAAGATCATGAAACTTTGCATACTAACTGAACTAACTATAAAGCAGTGCTTATGTTATTTACTTTTTTTTAAATAAAATTATTTTCACTGTAAAAAGAAATTACCTAAACTATCGGCGCGTAAGCTTGATTCCTGTCGCCCCGTTAGTATCGCTCTGGTTTTTGAAGGGAGAAGTTGTGTCGCTTACGATCAGAATACACATTACGCAACAGGACGACGTAAAATTAAAATGGGAAATAACCGTAATAAAAATAAGAAGCGACTAGGTTGGCGTTAAGAAACAGGCATAAATATGATAAACCTAATGAAATAAGTGTCTAAAGACCTTTCTACTTACAGTATTAGTGATTACAAACATGTCGGTACATAGCATACGACGCGCGGGCAAGTGGGGACGAAATTAGAATTTGAGCTGACTTACTCCATCCCCTTAAGGATAAGAATTTTAGTAATTGTCAAATTTATGTTGGTTCTTAGGCGAGATTTAACAATGTCCTTTATGTATGGCATGTTGTAGTACGGGCGCAACGGGTATGTCCCAGTAGTGTTACTACCAGAGCAGCATAGGTACAAGGAGGTAGAGACTCACGTATGGGGTGTAGAGCACGAGCGTGGCGGGCCGGTCGGGCCGGTCGGGGCGGCGGTACAGCAGGCGCGCGGCGGCCGCCTCGTCGTCTGCGCGCCACTCGCGCACGTCACGCCACGCCACCTCCAGCGCCTCGCGCCCCTCGCGCCCCTCCCGCTCATCGTTCTCGCTCCACGCACTCAGCTTCAGCCCGCTCCAACCTGCGCACACCGCACACCTTACATTCATCATGTCCTCCTGGTACTCATTCAGTAAAAAACAAAGAAAGAGTTTTTTGACAGGAACTTTTTGACAGGAACTCTTTATGTACGGACCATAAATTGCACCTCTCAGCTTCTTATATAGTTAAATTAGTTTATAGCTATGTAATTTTAAGATTACATAGCTATAAACTAGAGTTAAAACAATAGTACGTAAGTAAAAGTGACGTTTAAAGTAAGCACACGTGTTGTCATTTCAACAATTTATTATTATACATACTGAAATATAATTTGAACTGCGCCAGCATAAGTTATGAATTATGATGTATGCTTTTTGGACGGTACAGTTAAAGCAATCGTTTGTGTAAAAGCGGTGCAATTTTGTGTACTAAATAGATGTTAGTAGGCTTAAATTTCAAATACAGCTTTATAGGTAAGCAAACATATGCACAGTTATATACCTTATTTTGGCCAACATACAGCAATCAAACGTACAAAGTATGCGGGCCACAGTCTGCGATTCGTTCTCCGGTACCGTGGAGGCAGTTTACATACATAAATTTCACAAGGACAAAGATCCAAACCCGGAACAATTACTTGTAGGCCATACAAATACTTGTTCCATGCGGGATTCGAACCCGCGGTCCTCCACTCATTGCTAAGCTAATGCGCCACAGAGCCGTTAATCGCTTCTTTAATAGTTAATTTAATTTACAGCTATAATTACTATGTAGTCTTAAAATAGTTTAAGACGATAGTACCTAAAGTATGAGTGACGCATAAAATAAAGCACACGTGTTATTACTTTAACAGTTTATAACACAACAAGCTTAGAGTCCCACATCAACGTCACAGTGAATTATTGAAACCGGCCACCGTCAAAAATGTGCTAATAGACCAACTGATGGAAAGTGATTATTGTAGTCCAAGGGTACCTGCACTCAATTTAATTGAGAAAGGTTAGAGATGACTTGTCGCCCATAAGAAAATAGAAATCTCTTTTGGCCAAATACTCAAACACTACTCAGTTTTAAGATGTCGTTAAGGTTCAATTTACACTGCTGCGGAACGAAATGGAAGCGAATTTTTGTAACGAAATTGTATAATCAAATGAGTCTTATGTTAATTGTGTATCGCAAAACTAGATACATTGGACACTCAATACGTTTTGAGATATACAAAAAGTATTCTAGATACTATTAATATTTATTTTACATCTTCTAAAAATGTTCTATATCATGCTCTACACAAAATGCCATTCGCCTATACCAACTCTAAAAACACTTTTGCCAGTTTTGATCTGACAGGTCGGAAATCGATTCTTCGTAGGCAGCCACGGCTTCTTCGGCGCTTGAAAAAAAACTTGCCTTTTATTTTTTCTTTGGCTCTAGGGAACAGAAAGAAATCACAAGGAGCTAAGTCAGGGCTGTAGGGTGGGTAACTTAGAATTTCAACACCAGATTTCTCAATAAATGCTTTTGTTCTAAGAGAGGTATTTGAAAAGGCGTTATCGTGATGCAGCATGATTCCCCGAAGCCCGGTCTTTGGGCTTCTCTCCCACACAGCTTGAAAAGCTTTGGGTAATGCAACTGTAGTATACCATTCAGAGTTAACTGACCTACAATTTTCCAGCATTGACATCGAGAAACGTCCGCTCAGAGAAGAAAAACTAGCCACTCTTTGCAGTTTTATCGGTAACTGTACTTCTGAGTAGACCCATACCAATTATTGCCTTTTATTTTCCGGATCATATTGATAGATCCATGACCAGTAACGATTTCCGAAACACGCTTAGAGGCCCCGTTTTCAAAATGTAGACGCATTTCAAGGCACCAATCCACACGAGTCTGTTTTTCGCTTTCGGAGAGCAAACGAGGGATCCATCGACAACAAAGCTTCCTCACTCCAAGATGTTGATGTAGGATGGTATGAATGCTCCCCGAACTAATGCGTACAACCTTTTCGATGTCCGCACATGTGATTCGTGGATCTTCTTGCACCAACATTTCAGTAATCCATACATTTTCTGCCGATACTGTTGTTTGCGGGGCCCCGGTTCTTTGGTCATATTTAAGGTTAATTTTACCCCTTTTGAATTCAACAAACCACCTAAAAATTGTTGCACGTGATGGAGCTGAGTACCCTAATGCTGATTGCAACCGTTGTAAACTTGTTCGGTTAAACCAAATTTAAAATCATAATATATCATAGCGCGCGATAATGTTCACGGTTAAGATCCATCGTTTTGAATGAAAAGCGCGGGAAGCGTTGCAGGAAAAATATTAGAACTTTGTTTTTTTTAATATTGAGTAATTGGCTTATGGAGTTCTATTTTTAAATAAATTAGCTTTTTAGAAACATATAACAAGGATGCGTTCCATTTTTAAATTTCGAGCATCTCAAAAATTATTGAGTAACCTACGTATGAGCCATTTCCACAGACTTCGCAGACAGTAGCTACGGGAATACTCGATAATTCCCCGGAAGACGCACGACTTCTTTTTTGGCTCATATCTAGTTTGCGCGTTACACAACATAAGATTCATTTTATTATGTACAAATTCGTTTCGTATTTCCTTAAAAAAAATTCGCTTCCATTCCGTTTCACAGCAGTGAAAATTGAGCCTTAGTCTTGTGGTGTCACAACACTTTGACTTAAGGCCGATTTACACTTCAACAAGTACGACAAGTACGAGTTAACTTGCGACCCTGACGAGTTAAGTAGAAAATCTCGTTTAAACGGCAGTCGGTGAGTTAAGTAGCAATATAAAAATAAAGTTGAACTTGTTAACCGGCCCGTCTTGTTTTCGGCGATTCAAGTTCTATGTTTCGCCCTCATGCGTGTCTTCCGCCACGTGCAACTAAACTCGCCGGTCGTGTGAACGAGCGAGTTTAATTCAGTGTGTTAGCTGACAGGACGCAATAAATTGGCGTACGACCATAAACATATAAAATTGTACTCTTTAGGTGAAGTGGGCGCCAAAAACACCATTTTTTGTCATTAAAAACTACGAATTCAAACATTTTGTTTAAATTCATTATGAAAGTTAAAGATTTTTATTTATGAACTATGATGGCCAAAACAAGACTTACACATTTTGGCTCGATAGAAAAAGATCGCAAAATTTCCTCAAAATCTACAATTTTAGGTATGTCTACTAAGTGAAATAGTAGTTTCATTTGAATGTAATGAAATCAAATTCAATTAAATTCAGGCTATGTGTTCACCAGTAAATACGTGAGTGAATTATGGGTTTATTTTTCGATAAAGAGTATATAGCGCGTGGGCCGACCAAACAGTCCTGCCAGTCGTCCGCAGCGCGGCGTAGAGAGCATCCGTGTACAACTTTACGCACCCACGCTGTTGTCGTATAAACATAACAATATATTTAAAAAAAATATTGATATCCGTGGTATGCCATCGAGAGGTAGTGAAAATTTAGGCACCCAAACCGGTAGGGATGGCATCCAAACCGGAGTACTAGGACTAATCCTAGTATCCACTCAAACAGTGAGCTAGTAGCAAGTAATAAACATGTAAATATAGGTACATAGGTGTGATTATAATACAAACTGATAAGTGAAAATTTCGTATAGGTATGAGTAAAGTGACCATTTATTTTTACCTCAAAGCGTGGCACCTTCAAAATTATTATAGATTTAACACTTTTGACTGCCTTTTTGGTGTAACGGTTGTAAACACAATTGCTGATCATGTAGTCCCGGGTCAATATATATATATTGTTACGCGCTCAAATCGACAATACACTAGCGCCATCTAGTGTCAGGAACGAGAGCGAGGGGAGCATTGAGAAAATGACATCACAAATCACTCAACCGACAGCGCCTAGTCGAAACTCGAACGCTCGGTACCTTGCGCGTGTTTACTTGAACATTCTGGATATTTCTTTGCTAATTTAAATATATAGGCGCTGCAAGATGCGATCGAGGGAGAGTTGAACTCGGCGACACAAGCGAAGCTTCGGAGCGGAATTAAGTGAATTAGTGTGTTTAATTATTAGTGTTTTTAGTTTTAATTTGTGTAAAGTAAATTAAAGTGTTAATTTAGGTAATTTTATCGGCAATTTTTATTGTCACGAACGTCAAGCTCGTAACAATTGGTGTCAGAAGTGGGATAAAATCATGCCGATTTTACCTAAGGAGGAAACGGAGGATTCCGTACCCGAAATCAACGACAGCAGGAGACGGACCAAAGAAGATTTGGTGGTGCAACGCCGCAGACGTCGGAGGGCCAACCGCCGGCTGCAGGCCCGTCAGTAGCTCCTACATCTGCAGCACCCGATTTAGGTGCTCTGATGGTGATGCTGCAGGAACAGGCTCGCCGACAGGAGGAGCAGATGCTCCTCGTGAAGGACATTCACGCTAACTTCGGGAAAGAGATTAGGGAGGTGAAGGATAGGGTTGCTCAACATGACAACCGCCTGTCGGAAGCTGAAACCCAAATCAAGGAAGCTAAAACCCAAATCGACCAAGTAAACAATCGGGTTGATTACGTGATGGCTGACGTGAAGAAAACGCTGAACGACCTCAAACTGGGGGATGGAACTACAGCTCCCGTAGTAGCTACTACACCTTCGCTACGTGGGTTCAAGGTGCCACCATTCGACGGGACTTCTTCCTGGTCAGCCTACAAAATCCAGTTCGAGGCTGTTATGAAAGCGAACGGCTGGAATAAAAGTCAGGCCATGACTGCTCTCATACTAGGCCTGCGCGACCAGGCCTTAACAGTTCTGGAAGCTCTCGGTGAGGAAGTGACTTATGAGCAACTCCTTGAGGCATTGGAGGCGAGATATGGCGACGCTCACCTGGAACACGTCTTTCGTGCGCAGCTTAAAGATCGTGTGCAGCGCATCAACGAAAACCTGCAGCAGTGGGCTCTAGAAGTGGAGAAGCTGGTGCGAAAAGCATACCGGTCTATACCTGCGCTCATTGAAGGGAACCTGGTGCAGACATTCATCGACGGCATCCGCGACCTGGAA